GTTCTTGCCCGCTGCATTCCAGTCTATGCCCCGCGGCGCCGCGCCGTCGCCGCGAGAGAGCGCCGCGCGCGCCGCCATGTCGGCTCCAGCGAGCGGACGCGCGCGCCCGGCGTCGCAGCAGGCCCGGCCCGGCGGCGGAAGGTCACGGCTGCTGTGCTGACGGCGTGTTGCACGGCATCGGTGTTTTGGTGGGCGAGACGCGGGGTCCGAAGCGCCACGCCGGCCGTTGGCGAGCGCCCCAGCGGGTTTTGAACGGAGCAGAGCCACAGGTGAGCGGCGGACGTTGTTCCGCGCGCCAGCAGGGGCGCTGGTGAAGTTTCTGGAGCGGGTTGTCCTTTGTGAGCTATGTGGACTGAGGCGCTGTGGAGCTCTGACAGGGGGCGTTATAAGTGGCTGGCACATTGTTAACCACAGCGTGGCATCGACTTGCGTGGATAGCTTGAGTCAGTCTTTAATGTGTTGTGCAGATGTGCAAGTCTTAGCGTGCTGTGCCCATCGTTGCTTGTTTTTCCACCATATTGCCGTTCGACTTCGTGACTTGCGCGATCGTGAATGGCACACCAGTTGTCTGGGTGCAGTTGAGTGTCCATCTATTGGAGCAGCATCCGGCCCCGCTGGTGGGGGTGTGCAGACGAAAGTATGGCAGACATTGTGGATTAGAGAGCGATAAGGGGAAAGTGCCTGTTTTGCTGGCATTCTTGGACTGGCAAACACGCCATTTGTCGGGTATTTCTAGTGAGGTAATTAGCAGCCTGATCTGACGGGCCTCCCGTCGAGTTGAGCTCGGACGGGCGAGTCCGGAGAGACGGACCGGAACGGAGAGAGTCTGCAGCGCCTGGGGCAGTTTTGTCGGCGCCCCGGGCAGGACCTGCCCTCCCGTGAGAGAGAAGGCGCCGCCGTGTGCACTGGTACTGCTCTCGCCTTTGAGCGGTGAGAGCGTGAGCAATGCGGTCTGTGAGCGGTGAGATTTTAAGCAGCGGGGTCTGTGAGCGGTGGGAGTGAGAGCAGCGCTATCTGTGAGCAATGGGAATGTGAACAGTGCTGTCTGTGAGTGGTAGGAGTGTGTGCAGCGCTGTCTGTGAGCGGCGAGAGCGTGAGTAGCGTGGTCTGTGAGCAATGGGAGTGTGAGCAGCGCTGTCTGAGCGGCGGGAGTGTGAGCAGCGCTGTCTGTGATCGGTGAGAATGTGAGCGGCGGGAGCGTGAGCAGCGCTGCCCGTGAGCGGTGGGAGTATGAGCAGCGCTGTCTGTGATCGGCGAGAGCGTGAGCAGCGTGGTCTGTGAGCGATGAGAGTGTGAACAGCGCTGTCTGAGCAGCGGGAGTGTGAGCAGCGCTGTTTGTGATTGGTGAGAATGTGAGCGGCGGGAGCGTGAGCAGCGCTCTGTGAGCGGCGGGAGCGTGAGCAGCGCTCTGTGAGCGGCGGGAGTGTGAGCAGCGCCGCCTGTGAGCGGTGGGAGTGTGAAGCAGTGACGCCTGGGAGACGGCGGGCCGGGCCGGGCCGGCGCCGGCGCGGCCGGGCCGGTCGGGGTCGGCCTGCTTCTCGCCGGGATCTGGTGACCGGACGCCGCGGCCTGGCTGACCCACTTCGGTCGGAGGCTCGCGATCCTGGCGAACCTGACGTCCGGCTGCGGGAGGCGCCGCCGATCAGCGCCCAGACACGGCGGCCATCTGCGGGCCGCGCGCGCTGTGTGACCTGTTGGACACGGGGCGGGCGAGAACGGTTGTGGGAGTACGGAAGGGGGGGGGGGGAGGAGAGTCATGTCCGGGTTAGAACTACTAAGCCAACGGTGCTCGCAGACGGGACAGAACCGCTGGAGTACGATGAGTCACGGACGTCATGGAGTCGGGGACTCAGGTGGTACTAGCATGGGGAGAGGCACGGAGGTAATGAAGGATAGGTACCCGACGAAAATAACCCCATACAAAATCAGCGAATTTTGACCCATTTTATTCAAAGGGCGTCAATCTCTGTTATCCAGTCATGCTTACGGGCGCTTGAATTGAGGCGCCCCGTAGACTGAAGACGAAGGGCCCTCCTACCTTTCCCGGGCAAGGGTCCCGTGGGTAGAGAACTAGGCGACTGGTCACCTTTCGTAGTCAGGGGCTGAAAGGGCCTTTCCTTCCTACTTGCCGGCTACCATTCTGGTAACACAGAGACGGTAGGTTCCTGATCGAGCCGGAGGCCGTCAGAGGCGATGTATTTTTATATATCGGTCACCTCTCTGACATGGGAGCCCTGCGGCTGCGGCAGTAGTTGGCCCCGGATCGACGCAGTAGCCCTCACAGGGTCAGAGTGTCCTAAAATGAGCAGAGGTATCCCAGCTCGCCTTATCGGCTCCCTGGCCGGGACGGGCATTGGGCCCTCAGTTCGTTTCTTTGCCCGTTGGACTGGCACAGCGCCCTTTCATTATCTCAATGTGTGCCTTTTCACCGTCATTCATCATAGCTCCTTGAATTGCCAGAGGGCCCCGACCAAAGTTCAGAAAATGGGCCGCGGACCGATTTGAAGTCCCTGGCGAATACAGGATCCCCCGTCTGGCACCGTTGACCCCCTGACCGACACATGGACACATCAATGGTTCATTGGCTTCGACGAATGTGAGAGGTCTTGTGACTGACATTAGCGGGCTCCGCTCTTGTCCCGGCGTTGGAAATAAGGCCCCCCAGGCCGACAGGGCCCACTGTTCGGTATAGTTGGTTCATGACTGACACAGGGGCCCTGATTACCCCAGGGCGACCCGATCTGTGCAAAAGGTCTTTCGCCTGAGCCAGGGGAGGTCACGGGTGTGGCGCGATGAATCACGAATTCGCAGCCCGCAGGCAACACGGGGCGTGACAGCCGGGGAGGAATTCGTTGGGGTGCGCTGCATTCGTAGACACGGTCGGAGGCCTGCCAACCAACCGCAGCGCCGCGTGCAGCGAAGACTTTCAGTTTCTTGTGGGTTGCGAATAGGAGAAATTCAACAAAAATATACCATGACAATGAGAACCACTTGCAGCGTTGCGATAAACTGAGTACCGAGCATTGTTCTTGGCGTGTAACGAGGGCTACTTGTGTAAAAAGCGAGCATGGCCAGACATCTTGGGCATGGCATTTGCAATCAGTATGTGATCGCAGCAGGCGTTGTGCAAGCAAGGTGCAGAAGTTTGTATGTTTGCAATACAATAAGTAGCGGCGAGCATGCCATCCTTGGACAGCCAATCACGTGTAATCATCCGCCATTGCATCAGTTCGGAGGTCGGTGGAAGGGGTGAATGTGCACTTGGCTCGAGAGGCAGCCCGATGAGACTCGGTGCCCCCTCGGCCTTCCACCGAACCCTTTCACCTCACCCTCCGGGCGTAGATCTGGTCAGAGGCCGACCCGAAGCGCCTCGGACGTGCCAGGCCCGTGCTCTCCACGGACCAGCGGATCTGATTCCGCAGCGTCGGTCACTAGATCTGGTGAGGGGAGCAGCGGAGTCGGCCCCATGGCGCGAGACCTGCTGTGTACATCGCCAGGTGTCGCGAGGGGGTTTGTTTGTTGTTGCAGCATAGGCGTCGATGCCCAGGTGTTGGCCTGGTATGGACGGGTGGACCTGTTCCCAAGTCCTGTGTAAGGTCAGCTCTGTCGGTCCTCAGGTCACGTGGTGCGCTGTTGCGCCGGTAGCCGGCTGTCGTGTGGTAGGACGTGTGCTGGTGTGTGCCGGTGTAACGTCGGTCCTCATGTTTGGTCGAGGAGCGGAACGCTCAGTCGGCCCCAGTCTCCGAGCCACTGCGCCGCTGTCGCCGACGTGCCGCTGTGTTGGTGTCCAAAGTCGGCTTGGTGGGGGGGGGGGGGGGGGGGGGGGGGGGGGGGGTAGACTGTCGCCGTCAGAGTGCCCTTAGATAGAGTGCAGGTCATTGTGAACACTTCAGCGGATCTTGCCATCACGTTTGACCAAATTCAAACCCAGGCGTCACTGTTTCCTGCAGTACCAATGCGTAAAATGCATTAATTTCAACTCGTTTACGAAGAGGTCTATTACACTCGTGAATTGTAGGTGACAACAGTTCTTTGTTTATGTTGGGCGATTTATCGCAACTGGATCTCAGTTAGGGACCCATATACAATTTATTACGATTCGACGACAAAGTGTCGTGCCTCGTGTCAGCGCTGTTGCATTCAGACGTGGCATCTGACCCGCTGTCTTGTTCCGCTGAGCTGACGCCGCTGCAGATAGACGTGACCTCTGACCCGCTGTCTCAGTTCGCTGAGCTGACACGTCTGCAGTCAGACGTGACACCTGGCCTACTGTTTCGGCCCGCTGTGCTGACGCTGCTGCGATCAGGCGTGACCTCAGACCCGCTGTGTTGGTCCGCTGAACTGACGCTGCTGCGGTCAGTCGTGCCCTGTGACCTGCTGTCTCGGTCCGCTGAGCTGACGCCGCTGCAGCAGACGTGACCCCTGACATGTCCCTGTCGGCCGCAGCGCGCCGATGGCCTCCCGGGACGATGTGTACCGGCGCATTCCGAGTGGCGCCGCCATCCACCAGCAGCCGGCGCCGCCGGCGGGCGGCGAGCTGACCAAGCCGGTCGACGGCTCGCCCTCCAAGCTCTACTACCCGGCGCAGGACCCGCGGCGGCGCGCGCGGCCCGCCGACTCCAAGATCCCGCAGCCGCCGCACAAGGCGTACGCCGGCCGCGACCCGAGCCCCGACAAGCCGGCGCACGGGCACCGGCCGGTGCACAAGCAGTACCAGAGCCAGCCGCAGGTGTTCGGCTACGCGCCCCCGCTCGGCTTCCCCAAGACCAACCCGATGGCCACGCCCGGCGACAGCAAGCGTTACCAGCCGAGCTCGTACGAGCTGCCGGAGCGGGCGGCGCCGAAGCGTGACCCGCGCGAGGACCGGCCGCGCACGTGTCCTCCCGAGCGGACGGGCCCGCCGTCGGCCGAGCTGCTGGGTCCCCCGCCACCCGGCCGGCCCGGCCCGCCCGGTCCGCCCGCCAGGATCGGCCCGCCCGACCGGCTGGGCCCGCCCGAGAGAATGGGCCCTCCGGATCGCGTGGGCCCGCCGGAGCGCATGGGCCCGCCGGAGCGCATGGGCCCGCCGGAGCGCATGGGTCCCCCGGAGCGCATAGGCCCACCGGAGCGGCTGGGCCCACCGGAACGCATGGGCCCACCGGAACGCATAGGCCCGCCAGAGAGACTTGGCCCGCCCGAGAGAATTGGCCCCCCGGAGAGGCTTGGCCCGCCTGACAGCCGCGAGCGGCTAGGCCCGCCGGACAGCCGCGAGCGGCTGGGGGCTCCGACGTCGGACCGACCGGCCGGCGAGCCGCAGAAGTCCTCCTCGGCGTCGAGCAGGTACCCGGCGGCGCCGGAGCCGGCGCTGTCCGGCTCGGCCGAGCCGCGCCCGCCCAGCTACCCGACGCAGCTGGGGCCGCGGCTCTCTGACGACGAGCTGCTGCGTGGCTCGCCGCGCGACCTGCTGGCCCGGTACCGGCACGCCGAGGCCGAGATCGCCCGGCTCATGATGGAGCATGGCCATGCGCTGCGCGAGCTGCACCGTCAGATCCAGGCGCAGGTCAGTGGGCGGCGTCAGCGGCGCCGGCGGCGGGCGGCGGGCGGCGGACAGCGCCCGCCGCGGCAGTGATGCACGTAAGGCGCGCAAAGGGCGACGGGGAAGGTCGTTTGGAGGTTAAATCTTTCCGAGCAGCACTTCTGGAGTACCGATAGCGTAGTAGTAGTTAATCTGCTCGTCTGGGAAGCCAGAGGTACGGGGTTCGACCCCTGCGGGGCCCTCCGTTCCTGCCAACGCAAAAGACGCGCGATGCCACGTAGCCTATGCAGCTGAGTGCGTCGCAAAGCCACAGTAGCAAACTGCTGGGGAATCCTTACCAGGTCACTTTCGCATCAACCACCTGCGGCAAAAGATTGCTGCCCACCTGAAAACACGCTTGGTTTCTGAGGGCGCTCGACAGCACAGCGAGGAACACCCGAGATGGGGCCCACTCCGTGTAGCAGGACCATCTGACCGACGGAGTCGTGACCTAGTTACGGAATAGTCACGTGGACGTGTTTTCGTCACTTAGACGAAACCAAAAAAACCTCTGGGGCCATGCCCCCCCCCCCCCTCTCCTCCCCTTTCCTGCAGATGGTCGGGCCCCGGTACTTTTTGGGCACGTTAAGACGTCGGAATGGATCCTGGAACGGAAGAAAAAGAAGAGAAATGTCACCTTCAGGTATCAGTATAGGGTCCTGAATTGCGGAAGGTCCTCCGAATCCAAAAGCAGGGCTCTGTAGCGACAAACACTGGCTCCATTGACTGGCCCCCGTAACCCAATTTAGCCCCTTCCTGGATTAAATGATGACTGCACCACCGCGTGGTCTGGACGTCACGTGCATGGCCTGAATGCCGACGGGCTGGACGCTTGAGACAAAGTACATTCATATAGGGGGAGATAGTTGGGTGGCTGCAGGACAGTGTATCAGAGCGTACGCAAAAGTCCCACCGAGTCCCATGGTCCCTGGTTCCAAAGGGTGTCCACAGGACATGTTTGAAATGTACTGTGGAGCAGGTAAATATCCCGTCAGCTGAAATGCTCCTAGGTAAGCATGTTTACAATCTACTTTGATCACTCATTCGTGTCTTTCCCCGGAGCCACCCCTGCTGACCCTGCCGACACGGGTGTGCCCTGTGGCCGTAACGCCCTACACGGCGCTGTGCTGTGCTGCTGGCCCTGTGACGCCGCACACGGCACCGTGCTGTGCTGCTGGCCCTGTGACACCCCACACGGCACTGTGCTATTCTGCTCGCCCTGTGACCCCCACACGCCGCTGTGCTGTGCTGCTCGCCCTGTGACGTCCCACACGGCACTGTGCTGTGCTGCCCGCCCTACACGGCGCTGTGCTGTGCTGCTCGCCCTGTGACGCCGCACGCGGCGCTGTGCTGTGCTGCTCGCCCTGTGACGTCCCGCACGGCGCTGTGCTGTGCTGCTCGCCTTGTAACGCCCTACACGTCGCTGTGCTGTGCTGCTGGCCCTTTGACGTTCCATGCGGCGCTGTGCTGTGCGACTCGCCCTGTGACCCCCACACGCCGCTGTGCTGTGCTGCTCGCCCTGTAACGCCCTACGCGGCGCTGTGCTGCGCAGCTCGCCCTTTGACGCCTCACACGCGGCGCTGTGCAGTGCTGCTCGCCCTGTGACACACGCTGCGCTCAGCAGGCGGTGGAGCAGCGCTCGGTGCAGCAGGTGCACCGGCGACTGCAGGACGAGAGCCAGGAGCTACGCGATCTCTGCTGCTTCCTCGACGACGACCGCCAGAAAGGGCGAAAGCTGGCGCGCGAGTGGCAGCGGTTCGGTCGCTTACACTGCCAGTGTCATGCGCCAGGAAGTGTCCGCTTACCAGAGCAAGCTGCGCCAGCTGGACACCAAACAGCAAGAGCTGGTCAAGGACAACCTGGAGCTCAAGGTCAGACGACGACCTGCGGCAGCTGGGCTGCTCCGCCCACGGTTCGCTGTATGGCCGTGGTTGTAGTAGGCAGGTCGCTGTAGAAATTGGGTGGTGTTGTTGCTTGGTGCGTAATTCTGACCTAACGAACGGCAATACCGGCCATGTGTCTGCGTCGCTTGAGGGTTTAAGCTAGTGGGAAGGGCGTGAACACTGTGGACATGTATAGCGTTAGGCACGCGTGGCTTTTTCGATCCCAGTGCTACCTTTCATTTGTAAGGGTTTTGAAGCTTGCCTGTAGATCCCCGTCATTTGTTTCCTTGGGCGACTCAGTGGACGACGTATTCTCTTTTCCGTCGATTTAAGAGCTGTGTCTGTAAGTATCCATCCGGCGATGTATGGCGTCCCCTGCAGCAGCGGTTCCGTTACTCCTCCGCCCCTGATCCCGCCTCTGACCCCGCCTCTGACCCCGCCCCTGACCCGTCTCAGACCCCGCCTCTGACCCCACCTCTGATTTCGCCTCTGACCCTGCCCCTGACCCCGTCTCAGACCCCGCCTCTGACTGCAGGAGCTGTGCCTCTACCTGGACGAGGAGCGGCAGGGCCACGGCTCGCTCTGCAGCAACTGCGGCGCGGCGCTAAACCAGCCGCGCGACGACGGCGACGGTAGCAGCAGCAGCACGGCCGCCGACGAGCCGGGCCTCTCGGCGCACGTGTACCTGCCGCCGCCCCCGGCGGCCGACAACGAGCGGCCGCGCCGCACTGAGAGCAGAGAGCGCCTGCTCGAGGAGAGCATCCAGCGACAGCGCAGCCTGCTCAACGGTGAGGCTGCGTCAGCCGAGTCGGGGCGGGCGGGGCAGGCGGGAGGGCCGACTGGCGGAGAGGAGGAACGGGGTGCCAGAGAGGTGGCGGATATCTGAGTGAGGTAGACGGGGGTCTGAGTGAGGTAGACGGGGGTCTGAGTCAGGTGGCCGGGTGTCTGAGAGAGGTGGTCGAGTGTCTGGGTAACGTGGCTGAGTGTCGGAGCGAGGTGGATGAGTGTCTGACAGAGGTGATGGAGTGTATGTTAAGGTTGGTGTGGGCGCTGTCTGGAACTTGTTTAGGCCACGCGCCGAGCACGCGATTGGTAATGATGGGTTTCGGGTTTGGGGGCGCCCCGCCGCCTGCGATCATGCGCGAAGCGCTTGGTAGTGGAATGTCCAGAAAGTAAATACGGAAATGAGGATATGAAGTGTACGTACCAGTTTCTGCAGCGCGGCCTGTACCGAGGCACCTGATCGGACTTGCGTCGTCGGCCAGCGGTCCCGTCCACGCTAACCTGCCAATCCCTGTGTGTGTGCAGAGCATATCCTGCAGTACATCCGCGGCCTGGAGCGTCGCCTGGAGGTGGCCGAGGAGGGCGGCGGCGGCGGCGGCGGTGACGGCGGACCCGTCAGCCGGCCCGACGCCGTCGTGCAGGCCATGCGCGTGCTGGAGGTGCAGGAGCACCTCGAGTGGGAGTCGGCCTCGCTGGAGCGGCCGCCGCAGGAGCAGGAGGAGGGCACGCCGCGGATGGAGGACCCCGAGAAGGCGCTCCTCCGTCAAATGTGCAATGTGAGTACCGCGGCGACTACAGCCCACAATTCATCGGCAGCGATGCCCTCTTGAAGCTGTAGGCGTAGAATCGCTGTGGAAATCGACTTAGAAACGGTTCGCCCACCCGTCTTACGTGCTAAGGACCTTTCTCCGTCGTAATGGTCTCCCCAGTCGCGCCAGATATGCAGTCTATATGTAGTCAGCACGTCTGTGAAGTATGCATAACGCACACCGTTCATCTATGAGTAATCATTATTATCTTCTAGACGGAATCTAGCAGGCCCACAGACTCGGTGCACTGTAGCGATGGACCCTGGCATGGAATGGTTCGACGGAACTCCCTCACTTCTCGCTCATAAGATTCTGCTTCTCAGGTCGTGTGGAGGAAGCTGGAAGACGTCCCCAACTCGTGATGAGGAAGCCACCACCCCTGTTGTTGGGGTCAACGCGCCTAAATACGAGCCCCTGGTCCGAGACAGCCTGTTGCCAGCGGCCGCCTGCTATCAGGCTGCAGTACGTGTAGTGGGCGCAAAATGACCCCGGAAGTCGGCGCGCCCTAAAGCCCCAATCATCATCACCAGGAGTTGGGTGCATCACCGCCGGCGCGCCAATGATTGCGCTGATTTATCCGCACAAATCTCCGTGAATGGTGCAGTGTGAGCTGTGGCAGCTCGAGAGCGGCTGCTTATGGTCCGTCCGCGACTACATGCCGTCCGGTATGGTGACTGTTAATTAGTGTTGGTATGCGCGATGCCCATCAGGCTCATGCAAATACGAGTGTTGGTATTTGTGCATGTTGAATTTAGTGGTGCAACGCCACTGAGTAATGCTGATGAAGGCAGAAAATTAGTACAAATTAATATTTTACGTAATGTCTGTGCATTTGCTGTTGAATGGAGGGCGTCCAGCGGGATGAATGGTGTGAAGAGCGTTTGGATATAATTCGAAAGCGATGGCGCAAACCGACGTGGATTTTCAGTGGCGAAATAGGTTAAGATTAGGCTCGTCAGGTGACAATCTGGCCCATTGATGATATTCTGCGCAAGGTCGTGTCTGCGGGGGTAAAGTACGTATTGTTTTGAGGACGCGGCGACGAACTCTGTGGCTTGCAATGCTGATGTCGGGCGACAGGCTGGCTGGCACAGGCCATGTTGCCGGTCTCACCGCGTACCAGCCGGTTTCGCGGACATGAGACGAGCGCTGCCGCGGAAGCAGACGTCTCCAACTGTTGATTCATTCGTATCGCGGTGTTCGATGTGTTGCGTTGGATGTCTGCTGTTGACGTTGAAGAGTAGCAGACAAGTTGTAACCTGTTCCTGTAATTATCGCGTAGGGTGAGTAAATATGCAGATGTACAAATGCTATAATACAAGACTCAGCTGTAAGACAGCCTTTCCGGCAGAACACGGACGGATCAGGATAAGGCCGAGCGGCAGATGACTGTCGACACGTCACCACACTTCTGCCAGATGTGCCTGGTTCAGACTCCGGAACACAGACTGGAAACAGGCTGATTCGTTAGGGCTGCCCAACCGCCGGTGGCTGAGTGTGTTCGCCGCGGATCTCATGCCATGATTGGCGCAAAGCCCCTCGTTAACGGGTCGGAACAGAAGGGTCAGAAGTCGAAGAGATCACGGCAGCTATCGGTGGTCACTGCTCCAGTTGTGAACGCCAGGACTTCCTGTCCAAACCACATTTCTTGCGTCGAGAACCGGTGAATCGCCCGCAGTCTCCGTACACCAATCGGGACATGTATTTTATCATTAAATGGTGGTCGACGGGTGCTTGAGACGTAAGCACTCAGGACATATCCAGGATCTTGCTACATAGGGAGGAGCAGGGGGGGGGGGGGGTCGCCAACCTTTGAAAACAACGGGTTATATTCGGGCGGAACTCGTTTTCCCTATTTTGCGGGGGTGACGGGAAGTAAGACAGGCGACTCCACTAGAGGGGGCGGGGCACGTTCCCGTCCATCCTAAAAAGGAGTTCAGCCCCTCCCCCCATCCTGGCAAAGCATTGCATGATTTCTTTCTCTTAATGTAACCAACCAGGTGCGTTCATGTCTATTCATAACTTTCCAGCTTTATTTTCATGATGTACTACGAACAGCTTGTATTTGCAGCTTGCGGTACCGAGTATTTCCTAAGCAGTACCTGTTTCGCGTGCTCTGAACCCAACACACGGCAGGAACGTCGCCAGGAATGCCTTCATACCTTTGTATGCTTTCGCCATTTACAATGGGTTGTATGCAGGAATACAGCCAGAGCCTTAGTAAGGGGAGGCCACAGGGTTGATAAAGGGCCACGTGTTGGCACCCCACCCCACCAAAAAAGATCGACAGATTGACCAACTTTATTTCTAACGGGCGCGATTTCGGTCATTTCATTTTCATTCTTATCTTCTTCATCTTGAACGGAAGCCAGAAAAGCTGCTGGAAGAAGCAATTTTCTCTGTTGTTTTTTTGTCAATAAACTGGGAAAATCAGGCGTTAGATGACTGCATGGAATAAACCACCGACATTTTTAACTGTGTAGTTGATAAGTGGACTTCGAGAAAGGAAAGTTAGGAGAATTGGAGAAAGCCGACAGAACTCGGAGCCAGAGGCTTCGCCATAATTTTTTTCGGATATAGAGATATTGAGAGTTCTGTAACTTCGTCTGACAATGGAGCGAAAGGTGATCAAACATTTGTATTAACAAGGCCAACCCATGTCCCTCTGGGAATGTTCAACCTTCAGTCAGAAGCGTCAAGTAAAGAAGTTATTGCCATCGTTTTAAATATGCGCGCTCCGAAGCCGAAGCAAAAATCGATGTCGGGCGTTGTAGTCTCCTGGTTCAGCGCGGGGATGCAGCGCCGCGCTGCCGACGCTGGCCGACGCGCCGGTCCCGTCGCTGACACCAGGCGGTCATCAACGGGCGGCCCAAAACAGTAAGCATCTGAAAACGATACCGTTGAACGCTTTATGACATTAGCTCATGCAGTTAGAAGGCAGTCGTGGCGAGCGTTTCATCTGCGTGATTTTCATATTTGATTTGTATTTATAACAGGAGCGGACCAGCATTGGCAGCTCTGCGAACTGGTGCCATAATCTGGTGGTGAAACTGGAAAAATAAAGGTAGAATATCCATTTTTCGTGTTGCTGTAACTGCTGAGCTGTTCAGAGGAGACGGCTTCAAATTATACAGCTGAAGGTCCAATGTCTGGATAGTACGCATTGATTTTGAAAGACTTTCAGAAGCATTATTTCGCGACGGTCGTTCTCGCACCCTGCGCCCGTTGCCTGGTGCTCAGTGCAGCGGTCAGCACCGGTCGATTTTACGGACATTGTGACCCGGATCATAGTTGTTCTTTCTACTAAGTTGAGAACGCGCGGGGTCAAAAGATTGCATGTTTTCTGTTTCACAAGTAGATTCTGCAAAAGGGAGGACGGTCTAGGCAAATATGACACAGCCTTTTCTTGCTGTTCATTCCCGAGAAATGGCCTCCAGGGCTCATACCGCCACAGAGTCAGCTGTTCGGTGCTGGTAGCCTCTGGCCGACACGGGACCCCTTACCAACACGAGACTCCATGCCAAGCACTGTGGGCCCTGACCGACACACGGGCCCCTCATCGACTCAGGGGCCCAACCATTGTAAATTGCGAGCCCAGCATTGCCCCTAATTGGGAAGTGGGCACTCAGGCCCAGGCCGTCTGTTTGGTACTGGTGATGTCTGGCCGACAAAGAGGCCCTCATCGGCGCAGGGGCCGCCATCGGCGCAAAGAGCCGTTTGAATGGCATTTGGGGGCCCGGTTCGATGGCCCCGCACCCCTATTACAACCCGCGACAAGGCCCCTAATGAACGGGCGGGGGGGGGGGAGGGCGCATGCCCCTGTGCCTTCCCGGCCTGCGCCGCTGTTTGTATAGCGGGAACCCGAACGTCGTCAGAATTATCCTCGGGGAATATATCACCTGAAGATGTACAAAGGTGTTCACCATAAATAGCTCCCGTGATCGAGCACGGAAGGCAATGAGCCCCTCGGCTATCTCCGTACCAGTGGGTCCCATGGTCAAAGGGGATTCTAGGGTTGTGTCTATAGTATGACACGCCCCTCGCCCTGAACCATCGCCACCATGGGGTAACCTCTCTGGGAACGAAAATCGCTGTCAGGAACGTCATTTTAGGTGCTTTCAGGGTATTGGGTTAGCATTGGAAAGGGGAGCCTGAGCCGTCCCGTCCCCAGTGCTATCTTGACCGCCTTCCAAGTGCCAAATACTCCCCTGAGCCCCCCTCAATGCTCCCCTGTATTTCCTCAATGCAAACAAGCCAAATAAGAACACCGAGTGAGAAAATATAAAAAAACTTCCAGAAAGACATCCAGACTTGTGTTCAACTCCATCTTTTCAGTTCCATACTGGTACTGGTTCAGCTCAGCTCCATGGCTTGAAGAATGGGTTATCTGTAGTCAACTTTGCTGTTTTGGGGCATTTTTGGTGACCTTGGCCTGACCTTGGATCTTGGACCTGACCCAAGGTCAGCATTTTATGTAAAGCACATATTATCGTCCATGGTGCATGATGGTCAAGGGTTTCGTGCAGACCAGTCTCCTAGGCCTTCGACCGAACTGAAGGTAACCATGTTCTGGGAAAGACAGGCTTTTGACCATAACGCGATTGGTAACGGATTTGTGTCGGTGGGTGTCATGGACGGGGAGCACGCGGCTTTCTGCAACCAACTCAGGTGCTTTTAGGGTATTTGGTTCACGTTACCCACGGCCACTATATTCTGGATCACGAAGGATATTGACCACGGCGCATGGAAGGGCAAAAGTGTTACCCTCAGAGCGTGGAATTGTCTGATCTGATTTACCCAATTTGTAATATTTTCTTGATCTTTTACCTGACCGGAGGTCATTTCTTCTTTCTGGAGGTTCTGGGGCAAGTCAGTTATCGACAAAGTGGAATCGAATGGTGAAGGTTTGCTGCCGACCGGCCGCATAGGCTCCGAACAGGGGTTGTTGGCCGTTTAGTCCCTCCGGCCCCCTCCCCAAAACAAATGCGTTTGACACAGATGCGCCACTTTGACCATTAATTTTTGACAACAGATACGGAATATTTTTCAGTCCTAGTTTAACATTTGGTTTTCTACCACCAAAAATCCCAGTTCAGTATATTAAGCCAAAAGTTTCTTCCAAATCTTGACCATAAAGGTGTCATTTGTACGTTTTGAATCAACTTACTGGTTATCTTTAGCCACAAAGAAATATTTTATAGCTCCTTAATCAACAAAGTAACCATAACTCCGTATATAACGTTCCGATTGCCCGACTTAAGTTAAATATAATGCAGCAACGCTGTCAGTATTTGCCGCTCTTCCTTTTGTGTGCAGGGTCCGCAGGCAGGCGAGGCACGTTTGTACTCGGAGTGATAGTTAAATGTGTTGGTGGCTTATGCCCCGCATTGTGTCATGTATACTATTGCCAGTGCATAAGTCTTTCTCCTCAAACAGTTATTTGCATTTTATGTGGGACCGTAACTGTTGGAGCATCATTTTGTGGTGTTTGTGGAAGTGGTAAAAGTCCGTAGTTGGGTTGGCAAATGCGACCGTCACCGCATATTACCTTTTAGCGTCATCTTATAGATTGGCCAACACCTTGCAACAGATTAAATCTGTCTCAGTGTTTTGTTGTGGTGAGGTCAGCATGTATCTCAGTGCAAAGTGCTTGCTGAAATGGATGCTAGTTGGTGTTTTTCGTGTCCATTTCGTGCATCCAATCTGAGGGATCTACTGGACACACTGTTAATAGGCAACATGAGGATCTTTGGGAAGTTAGGTAGCTGTTCTGTATTTCAGTTTTGGAAGTGTGTCACTGTAGATTTTGGAGATGGCAAGAACTGCTGCCTAGCCACTATTGAACTCAAAATGAAATAAAATTGGTCGCCAATGTGTCACTTTGCTGGCAATGTGAGGTTATTTGAAATATTTGTTGTAGATGCAATGCTTTCATTACCACTGTGGTTGCTAGCAATGCACAATTGGTTACCAGAAGTGCAGTCCTCTGAATGTATACACCACCAGATTCATAGGGAAAATCTGTGTGTGGCCTAATGCTCATGTGTCAAACTTGGGCCCATGTGTGTCAAACTTAGGCCTGTGTGTTTCAAACTTAGGCTTGGCTGAAATATGCTTGGTTGTCAGATTATGCTATGATAAGGCATTTTAGTAGCATAATAGCCTGAAGTGCTGTTGTAGCACCATTCCTTGAAACATTGACTCATATGCTCGGAAATCTGTAGTAACCATGCACTAACCTCAGAACACTGGTATTAAAGTTGACAGGCACTTTAAGTTTTGCTGAGGTGCTCCTGACATGCTGAACATGTTCAGCATGTGGCTTTTTTGCAGC